CCTTACAGTTTTTTTCAATTGTTTACACGCAATTTTGAAAACCGGGTTCTTTTTTTCAAAATATAATCACAATTATCCAAACACCACACTCAATTTGCATAATTTCTAGATTGTTTGCAAAATGACACACTTCTGTCAAAACATACACACTTCAGTCAAAAGATATACAAATATTTGTGAAAATGCTATTAGTTTTCATTTAACCAACACAGTCCTCAATGATCAGACACTATTGCAGCCCGTTTCACACGGCAGTGATAAATAAAAAACACATTTGTAAAAAAACTATTTTTAGGAAATAGCATGTGCTAGATTTTTGGCAAAAAAAAATACATGTTGTGGGTTTTGACAAACCCACAACATTCTTCATGATTAGTTTGAGATATAGGGAGAATGTACACAAATAGGCCTACTATAAACTTGCCAAGCACTGCACAACACTGATTTCTGCAGACTCATATTTCAAGTATTTATTTACAGTATTTCTCACCATAATCAGTTACAGTAATCAACCAACAAAGAAATCAATGAAAAAAATAAAATCTGTAGACAAATAAAAAATTACTGCATGAAGTACATACAGTTTGACTCTGAAGAAAAACTACTGTAAAAGCAACAAGAATACTGTAACTATTCAGTTACAGTATCAACCAGAGATTTGGTTGATCTCTTTGTCCAGCTTCCATCAGTGTCAGCCCATGGTTGATAACATGGTCAATAAGTGTTGCACGGATTTCTTGAGTCAAATTTGATCCCCGTCTTCTTTGTTCAGGTTCTATCAACTCTTCAAGTCCTTCTCTACCTCTTCCTCTACCTAGGCCTCTTCCTCTATCTCCTTCTTCTCCTCTTCCTCTACCTGGGCCTCCTCCTCTACCTACTTCTCCTCCTCCTCTACCTCCTTCACCTCTTCCTCAACCTCCTTCTCCTCTTCCTCTACCTCCTTCTCCTCTACCTCCTTCATCTCCTCTTTGAGCTCCCCCTCTTATTCTCACTTTTCTTCTTCTAGCTCCTTCCATTTTTGTTGAAGACAGGTGAACCTGCTGCCTTTTATAGCACACCTGAGTGCTGCGTTTTCAAATTAGCACATGTGTGCTTCCACACCTGGTGGATGTGCATATCCAATTCATTCATTAGTGTGGTCAATGGCAAACCGGGGCTTTGTAATGACAAGGAAGTAACCTCACAATCCTTAACTGTGTCTAAGGTGTGAAAATGTGTGTAGAGTTTAACAAATTACTGTGTGTAATGTTTTGCAAAAAGGGTGAAGCTGACAACGTGCTTACAATTGTGCAAATCTAGGCTGGTGTTTTGCTCCTTGAGTGTAAGGTTTTGCTAATAGTGGGAAAGTTTTAATTTTAGTGTATAAGCAATTGAAAAAAACTGTAACATCCCTGACCTATGTAGCAGTGTTAAGATTAGACTTCATCTTCCTGAGCAGCCTCCAACTTAATGTCTTAGACAGGATACACTCTTTCAAATGTGCTCCTGAGGAGGAATACTTTTTCCAACCAGGAGTATAAGAACATACATCCAAGCAAGTATGTCAACGGAGTATAAGAGAAGCATGTAAACCAGGGGTCTCCAAACTCGCTCCTGCATAGTCAGTACGTTTACATGGACAACAATATTACGATATTAAGCCGATTAAGACAATACTCTGATTAAGAAACTACCATGTAAACAGGGATTTCTGATTACCTTAATCCGGCTAAAGTCTTACTCGAAGTAAACACAAATCGAATTAAGCCGTGGGCAATTCCTATTTTAGTCGCATTATCGAAGTGATATATCAACCACCGGGGTGATTTACGCTCACGTTGTATGTCGCTACTCGCCCACCAACTGCTCCTCTGGAGTCAGCAGCGGATTAGGTTGCCCTGTGCCCTTTACATTCCAGGCAGGCTCAATCGTGCGGCTGACGCACTCTCAAGACAGCTCATGCTCCCGGAGGAATGGAGACTCAATCCCCATGTGGTCCAACTGATCTGGAGTCGATTCGGAGACATGCAGTTAGACTTGTTGGCCTCTCCGTAATGATCCCATTGCCAGGTTTTTACTACCTGACCGAGGCGACCTTCTGCACGGATGCGCTGGCACACTGCTGGCCCCGGGGCCTACGCAAATATGCACTTCCCCCAGTGAGCGGCAGGAGAGTGAGCCTGCACAGACACTTTGCAAGGTCAGGGAAGATGAAGAGCAGGTCTTGATGGCCATGCTTTAGTGGTTCAACCAGGCCTGTTTCTCAGACCTGATGCTCCTCACTTCAGCCCCTCCCTGGTGGATGCCCCTGAATAAAAACCTTCTTTCTCAGGGACAGGGTACCATTTGGCACCCGCGTCCAGATCTCTGGAACCCCTATGTGTTGCTTCAGGATGGGACATGGCAGACTTAAGTGGCAGACTTATTATTATCGTCTACATTTTTTCGCATGACAAAAACTATGTTGGAAATCTATTGACATTTTTGTGAACAAATAAAAACTAGACGAAAATGTTAGGGAGGGACGATTTGGAAAGAGATCCAGTCGGAACTGATGTCCTGCGTGTGTGGTAGAAGTGCACATTTTAATTGTAAAATGCTGATCTACCCGGCGGGACATGAGTTGGCATGCTCTTGATGCATGTCTTTTAAAACGATTCAAAATGTAAACATCTGGGAGAAAGAGAAGAGCAGACATATGGATAGATCTGAATAACCATGAAAACTTGAAAGAGAACTCTATTCGGTATGGTTTTCTGTGCACACGCACCTGAAGCGCACAGCCATGCACACAGAAAGAAGCTACCTCTTACAGTGTGCAAGAACTGAATTGAGCTCTCTTTCAAGTCTGAATGGACAAATACACACAACATTTTGTCAAAATGTCAGTTTTCTTCTGTATGTAGTACTGCCCCAATGGTCAGTCCATATGTGTATTTTCCACATGTTACCCCCCTACGTGCAGGATGTGGCCTCCGTACCGTCCCTTTCCATCTGGACAAAGCATTCTTCCCCAGTGTTATCCAACTAGTCGTGGCTGAATAGGGGAAAGCAGAAAGGAACAGCAGCTATCGACCTTCCGCTTGGAAAGTTCTGTCTTTCCGTCCCACCAGGTTCGACTTACATGGGTCGCTGGGAATGGTCAGTGGTTGTGGGGCTTTCCATAGGGACCCCATAACGTCAGTGTCGATGTCCCCAAAAGGGAACGTCTCGGTTACTCTTGTGAGCCTAGTTCCCTGAAGGAGGGAACAAAGACATTACGTCCCTCCTGCCACAACCCTGTACCACCTGCTAAATGCCAGAATCCCATCTCGGCTCCTTAGTACAAACCTGAATGAATGAGTTGCCGGCCATCTTATATACCTGTATGTCCAGGGGAGTTGCTTGGGATGCAAATTTAACTCACCAATCTTTATTGGCCTGTTTTCTTACTATCTGAAGGTGATTGGGCTCCCAAGTGAGACCCCATAACATCAGTGTCGACGTAACATCTGTGCCCTCCTTCAGGTAACGAGGGTTACAAGAGTAACCGAGACGTTGCATATGGTAAAATCACTGAAATGCACAACCTATTGTGGTTTATTGCTTAATTATATTGTTAAAGCATCACTTTGAAGATTTAATTACATATTTTAAAAAAGCCCAATGCCATATTTATAACGTCCCCAAGCAGCTATTTCCAGTCATGCAAGTACTGTTTGTTGAAAATACATCTCAAAAACATATTCAAACTCAGAAAACATCATCATAGGATCATATTGTGTTTCTTAAGCTGAGTTCTAGTCTAAACTAATAAGCAATTGGCTCTTTTATCTGTAAGGCAGAACTGTAATTGAGTGTTACATTTTCTCCAATTACTTGTACTGGCAAATCCTACTGTTGTTTTATTATTTAACAAACCATTGAAATACTTTGAATACATAACAAGCTGTAAAGAAATAACTCCTGGTGACAAAACATCATAACAACAGTAATGGCAACCAGTGGCGGATCCCGGCATAAGCAATATAGGCAGACGTCTTGGGTGGCATGGGGCACTGCCTGGGCATGGCGCACACAGCTTTCAGACACTACTTTCTTTCCTTCTTTATAGTTCATTTGAGGCAGTTTCCTAGGCGTTATTTTAATGACAAATGTTGAGAGTGCATCCATGTAGTGCACAAGCATAAATCTCTCCACTCGCAGCCAGATTTGCTTCGAGTTTGCTCTTGCTTAAAACTGGACGTGCCCTCTCAAATATACAGTGTTCTCTTATAAATTGGCTCTGCTCTTCCCCAGATATTTGTGTGTGCACACTCAAACTTTCCTGTGCATTCGTGAATCTCTATCTAGCTTATTTTTAACATAAGACATTTTGTAACCTGAATGTGTGAGGCTTCTGTCATTCGCTTCCAGTTAATTTAGCTGTATAAAAAAAAGTCTGTTGACATAATAACATATGAAACTACACATATTGCTTGATAATTAACTGCACCATGCTTGATAATCCAAATGTATTTGTTATCATAATATGTTATTATCAGAATTATAAACACACTGGTTTGTAGCGCAAATAGTTTTACCGTTTATACTGCCCTTTGTTATTCTTCCAGTTATTTACCTATAGTGGCTAATGAATCGGAAGTCTGGCACATTCAAAAAAAAAAATAGATTACTTCTGCATTACAAATCAATCAGAATAGACTTCCATGATTGGCATGTCTGATTTTGCATAGGGCACCAAATAAGTCAGAATTGCTTGAACCATATGATAAACTATATTACCATGAGGATTCTGTCTTGAATATGGTCCATATACAATTGCTAAGTATATTTGTTTCTCTCATAGTAATATTAATGCTGTGGAAGCAATTTTTTTGCTCCATTATTTGCTCCTGTCAAATCCACAGTGTCCAGGATATCATTGATCTATTTGCACAGAAACACACCCATCAATCCCTTCAGCTCTCGCAGCATGTCTGTGTGTGATTACCTCATAAAGCAAACCTTCCTTTATGGCCTCCTACAGGTGTTTGCTCGAATGTGGGTGGATTTTGTCTCTAGGGTCAGTGAACAAAGTACATGCGAGACTGCGCAACAGCTGCCATTTTCAATGAATAAGAACTTCTTTTTCTCTTTCTATATACATAATTATTTATTTAAATGTGGGAATATGGGCCTTCACTAGAGACCATCTATCTGTGGTGTATCTGGAGTTACTGATGGATTACACTCGAGCTGCTCACTTAAATGGGTCGAAACCAAAAGAACCGACATCTACATTCTGGAGGAAAAGGTAGAATCTTTTTTTGTGGAAGAAAAAAAATGTAAATGTATTTTTGTTGTAGTCATGTATATTATATTAGCAGCTAGTAGTGATGACTTTAGATTAATGGTTTTTGATTTACACCTAAATTACATTAAGAAGCTAGTATAAGTACAGTATTCTCTTAAGTGGCCATTTCTGTTGATTAGCCGTGTATGTGTAGTTTGCGCACAGTCAGATCCCCAAAACTGGCCGCCGCCATTCCAGGCCATGATCACTGTGGGCCTGTGTTAACTGGGCGTACATTTTCAGTTCTATTTTGTTCTATTTTGACTTTAAAATGGACAACATTAGTTGACGGTATCAATGATTACAACAATTGAAGTGGATCAGTCTAAACTGAACGTACTTTGTGTGAGATCATACAGTTGTGTTTGTCACATTACAATTAGAGGCACAACGAAAAGGAAACTAATGCTGTCATGTGCTTGACACGAACAAGCTGTCGATCTTTCTCAGTTTCTCTGAATTGGGGAAAGGTAAAGCGATAAGTATTTGAGTAAGTTCATGCTATCTATCCATGTCTAAGATACAACCTGTCCTGTGTCTTTCACATAGGGCATTTACAGCAGTTGGTTTAAAATAAGCAGCACTAACAGAAATTCAGGAGACCCGGAGGTGATCCAATGGATGTTCTTGGAGAAAATGAGGCACTGCAGCAATTTTTTAATGGTAAGACACCTAAACAACATTCACCTGTTTTACCTCGGACCATATTTTCATGTTCTTTATATTTTAGTTAAACCATAAATAACATAATAATAATGATATATATTAATGCATAATTCATATTCTTACATAGTGTAAATAATACAAATAGAGTAATACAGTACATGTTCCTAAATTTCTTCAATGTAAAAATATTCTTTTGAAATAATCTTTTGGGTTCGCAAAATCTAAGAAAAAAATCCATCTATGAGGTCAGTAAGTAAAATATTACTGTGATATGTAATTGAATAATTTGGAAACTGTAACGGTTTGCTTCTTAAAATGTATGTCCGTCTATAAAAAGTGTTTATCAGCCATTATCTGGTTACAAACCAGGAATTTGTTATTATGTATTTAATATTTTTTCATTTTTTTATATCCGCAAACAACCTACTGTAGATTAAGAACTATAAATGTTTCATGGAGGTTGTGTTTTACTTCATGGCATTTATAAGCATAACAATCATATGATGTAGGTGGCTGTAATCTGTACAGTATGAAGGTACAGTTTACTATATAGTTCAAGGTCACGGATCTATAAAACAAGTCAGAAGAGCAAACAGATCAAGGCCCATTATGTGAATACACACATACGTTTACGGTCTCCTTGCTGTTTCTATACAATATATTTTATCTAGAATTTTAGAATTTAAATGTATTTTATTATTGTACAGGTGAAGTGAATAACATTGTTTATAACATTACAATGGCACCTATAAAGGGGGGATATTTTAGGCAGCAATGAACAGTCAGTTCTTGAATTCTTGAGTTATTTGGCATCATCATCAGTGCTTTCCTTCAGTCAGTTCAAGCCAATCTATGATGATTGTGCGTTCAGCCCGTTTTGTCTTGCACTTCTCGTTATCCTCTAGAGTGTTTTTTGTCTAAAATGTGTTTCTCAGTCCATAATCGGGGACATTTGTCTGAAGTGTCAGTCGATACTTTAGTTATCTGGAATGGTGGCCTTTGGAAGCGGTCTCTGGATCAGATCGTCTGTGTATTGTGAGAGGTTCTTCATGTCTCTTTCCTTTTTTGGCATTATTGTGATGTCCAGGTATTTGATGATTGGTGAGACATGTTTGTGGAGCTTTTGAAATTTGTGACCCTGACCTGTTAAATAACCATTAAAAGCATGTAAATGGTTATTTATTTAAAATTGGGAATTTTCTCTGCCTATTAAAAGTGTGAGCAAACTACATATTGGCTTCAGCAAATGTTAAAAGCTGTTTGAATGGATTCATTACATCTGGGTCATCATTTCTGCTATATACTACCCTGCGGTGTCGATGCTCCAATATTCTGCGGCGGAACTGCTCCCGTCTTTGTGAATTTCCGTCAGCTTTACATCTTCACCCAGATATTGTGTATCAACCACGTCGGAAATACAACCACCGTGGGTCTCGGCGGAGCTATACGATCAATGACTCAATACGATCAATGCTCAATATGGTCATTCTGGTTGTCTAATCCACGTCCAGCAAGTGTACTAACCAACCTGGCCAGAACGGTTAGCAATGATACTGGTAAAAATAATCTCTCCTTTGGATTACTCAATGTATGATCACTCTCCAATAAAGGACCTCTGGTGCATGATTTGCTGTCTGACTGTAAGTTTGATTTCCTCGGTTTAACTGAGACTTGGCAGAAACGTGATGATTTCCTTCATTTTAACCAGTCTGTTCCTCCGGGGTATGTTTTTGTTTGGAAAATCCCGCGCTACTGGATGAGGAGGGGGTATCCCAGCTAACTGTGCCTACATACTCTTCATTTGAATAATAGATAATGACAGTAATGCAAGTACAAGGGAATTTTTATCTTGTCTGGAGAGTTTTGGTATGCAGAAATTTACTAACTTGCCCACTCATCCTCGATCTCATTTGTTGTTCTGGCATAAATCCTTATAATGTTACCCTTTCTGATTTGGCCATGTCAGATCATCTGCTGGTGTCTTTTTGCACCCAACTGACAGTCTTCCAGATAAACGTGTATTGCTCTCTCACATTTGGGAACATTTAGGACATTGATGTGTCTACTTTTACTAATGCCATGTTTGCCATGTTTTCCAGTAAAGCTGATCTTTCTACTGCTGATGCGCTTGTTTCCTATTATAATAATGGACTAACTATGATTTTGGATGTTTTTGCACCTGTAAAAACCCAGACTGTTTCTTTTAGTCATTCTGCTCCCTGGTTTACCCCTGAACTTTGTCAACTTAAAACTAAAGGCCGTAGGTTAGAGCGTCTGCATGCCAAATCTGGTCTTACTGAACACAAACAAATGCTTGCTGACCATATCCAACATTACATGGATGCTTTGTCTAAAGCTAAATCTGACTATTATTATAATATAAATGGAGCTAGTGAAGGGAACACTAGGGGCCCTATTTTAACAATCTGAAACGCAAGTATCAAGCGCGAAGCGCAAGTAACTTTGTGGGCGGGTCTTGGGCTTGCTATTTTACCGGCGGGATAAATGACTCTTTGTCATTTATCAAATGTCATTTGTCATTTATTTGTCATTGATAAATGACTCTTTGTCAACGCGCAGTGTATGCGCATTGTGCACCCGCTACATTTATGTTTAAAAGGGGTTGGTCTGAAATAGCTTCATTATTCATAGGTGTGGTTTGGGCGTAACGTGAAATAAACCATTTAGAGCGTCATCCAACATACCCTTTAAGAGCAGGCGCGCATGTTGCATGGCGGATTGCTATTATAACGGCGGATTTACCAGGCGCGCGGCAGGAGCGGTTCACAGCCGAGGAGACCGACGTTCTTGTCAGGGCAGTGAAAGACAGAGAAGTGACGTTGTATGGGGATGGGAAAAACCCACCCAAATCAGCGTCGGTTAAACAGGCGTGGGAGGGAAAAAACTATTTTTTTTACATCTTCATAGACACCACAATGTTCTCTTACGAGAGGTTCTCTCGTATTGCGTAAGCTAGCTTACGCTACGGGAAAGATTAATCTTTTCTGAGATATTGAAGCCAAAAAATGATCCTTAATTTTGTATCCATTGTCAACGCAGTGCAGCAGCTGCAGACCTTGAGCGGGCTAGCTAGCGAGCTCATTGGTTGCTCTGCGGCAAACTGCTGCAGCCTATAGACGAACTTGAGTGAACTCGCGTCCAATGAGAGGCGCTCGCGCCTTCATCGCGTCATAGCCCGCCAGAATGGGCGTGGCTAGAGTGTATATAAGCAAGGTTCGTAGGCTGCATCCCTGATTTTCATCTCTTCAGCGAAGCTCTTCGCATCTCTGAACTGCAGAAGCCGCGTCACCATTCGAGGGGCATCTAGCAAGCTTGGACAGCGCTTGAAGAAGCCGGCTGTCTTCGCCACCTCCAGCCATCCGGCGAGCTACGCTATCCGGCGACATATCCTTTTAAGCTCTATATTCTGTAATCTGTGTTCTACACTTCCTAAAAGAGCAGCGAGACGTCTTTTTCAAGATGTCTTGCACTTCCTGTGGCTCGTGCAGAGCCGCTCAGCATTGGAGACCGTCATCTGCGCTCTCTGCCTGGGCCAGGAACACGCAGCCCTCGCCCTCTCGTGGAGGATGCGAGCACTGCGAGGAACTTCCGATGTCGACCCTGCTGGCTCGAATCGAAGTCTTTAACCACAGCACCACGCGGCTAGCTCTCTTTACGTTACAAGAGAGCTACCCCGCCCTCGCGCCCCCGTTTCACGCGTCATGCAGAGCCCTCTCGAGCTCTCTGCATGACCCGGATGGGCATCATCTGTGTCACATGTAGGTCCCGTGCCCACTACTAGTGCGCGCGCCCTCATACAAACACTATTCCCAGTAACTGCTCGACCAACGAGCACGCGGCTAGCTCTCTTTACGTTACAAGAGAGCTACCCCGCCCTCGCGTCATGCAGAGCCCTCTCGAGCTCTCTGCATGACCCGGACGGGCTTGCGCGCCGCCGTCGAAATGTCTCATCCTGTCAGTCCCCTTAGAAAAGGCTACTGCAGCGGTGTATTCGGCAGCCAATGAGCCGGTAATGCAACCCGCTCGCCTGCACACATCCGCCGTTTTCGCGGCGACCCAGAGAAATCTCAAAGTGAGTATAATATCTGGTTATCCGGCTCACGCCGTTGGTGTCTTGAGTGTAGAAAATGTGCCCACATCTTGGTGTTCACCCCTACACACAAGCACGATACCCCCCGTGTCTCTCTCAGAGCCCACTCTCATAAAGCTGGCAAATGCCGCTCGAGTGCTAGATGTAGGAAACGTGCCCACAACTCTGTGCTCACGCCTATTTTCTGCCCGCTCTGTCACGGCCAGAACAGCCTCACACATGTCAGGTTAAGAATGTAAATCACGTGCCCGCTCACGAGCGCTCACGCTTACTAACAGACACATCGCCTTCGGCGCTGCTCGCTCATTACAAGTTTTCATAAACGTTACCCGTTCAAAGCAGCCGGGACGTCACATGTAAAACAGCCAGCTGTCGCTGTCAGCGAGCCGCCGTATTCGAGTACTCATATTGGTCAGGCTATGAATGAAAGTTACGTGCCCGCCCACGAGCGCTCACGCCTACTAAGCAGACACAACGCCTCCGGCGCTGCTCACACATTACAATGCCCCTTCTCTGCCCGCTCTGTCTCAAGGCCAGCAATAAACTCTCTGTATGTAAGTCCCGTGCCCGTGACTATGCTCGCGCATCACTTAACAGATGTGACTCTTTCCCCATTCACTTCAATCGGGAAGTCACTCACAGAACAGCCTGTCCCTGCTGTTTGCGAGCCATCATGCATAAGCACAGTAAGCGTGCTTACACATTCTGTTCAGCTCGCTGTGTGCGTCAATCAGGGAGATTTGGCCATTCACCCTCTAGCGTTACGCTTCAAAGCGTGGGAAGCTATCCCAGGGATATCCAAATGGGTGTTAAGCACGATAAAACAGGGCTATTTTCTACAGTTCGATCGCCGCCCTCCCCGCTTCTGAGCACGGCTCGAACTACTGTGAACACGGAAGCAGCCTGCACGCTTCGTTCAGAAATAGCAAACCTCATGTGCAAAAGGGCCATAGAGAGAGTGCCGCCTTCTCTGAGCGAGTCGGGGTTTTACAGCCGTTATTTTCTTGTCCCCAAGAAAGACGGCGGCCTCAGACCAATTTTGGATCTCAGATTTTTTAACAAAGTGCTTGCAAAAACACCGTTCAAAATGCTTACAGTCAGGAAACTCCTCGCGCACGTGCGCCAGGGGGACTGGTTTATTTCTTTTGATCTGAAAGATGCCTATTTTCAGATTCAGATAAATCCCCGTCACAGGCCATTCTTGAGATTCGCCTTCGACGGCCAGGTTTATCAATACACCGTCCTTCCGTTCGGCCTGTCCCTAGCACCCCGTACTTTCACGAAGTGCATGGATGCGGCGCTCGCCCCCCTGCGGAGCCAGGGCTTGCGAATCTTGAACTATTTGGACGATTGGCTGATTTTGGCACAATCACACACGGAGCTTCTGTCTCACAGGACAGTTCTCCTCAGTCATCTGAACAGCTTGGGTCTCACAGTCAATTGGACCAAGAGCTCACTACAGCCCAGTCAGGCGATTTCCTTCCTTGGAATAGAACTAGACTCCGTGGCTATGACGGCTCGCTTATCAACACAGCGCGCGCGCCGTGTTCAGCGACTAGCCGCATCTTTTCAGATGAACAACCTCACGCCTCTGAAACATTTTCAGAGAATGCTAGGTTACATGGCCTCAGCCTCAGCAGTACTCTAGCTGGGTTTACTGCGCATGCGCCCGCTTCAACATTGGCTAAACACCCGTGCGTCTCGCCGGGCTTGGGCCACAGGCTGCCAGCCGATCAGAGTGACTCAGACCTGTATCTCAGCTCTGCAGCCCTGGACAGTGGCCGGATGGTATCAGCGGGGAGTGACGATGGGAGCTGTATCTCGCCGAAAAGTCATCTCGACAGACGCGTCCAACACGGGTTCAACACGCATCCAAAAGCCCGCCGGGTGCAAGATAGGGCCCTAGATCTCTCTTTTCTGTGGTACAAAATATTTTACGACCACCTGACTCTTTGCCATCAGATATGTATTCTACCCCACTGTGTGACAGTTTTATGACTTTTTTTGAGTCTAAGGTTAAAAATATTCACCAACAATTACTTGCAGGTAACTCGAGTTGTGACTTCCATTATCCAGTCTTCCATGTGCCCCCACACTCTGCTTTCTCTACTTTTTCTTTACCAACTGCTGTGGGGATACTGTGTCTGATCTGGAAATCTAAATCTACTACCTGTTGGTTTGACCCTTTACCAACTCGCTTAGTTAAAGCCTGTAAAGCTTGATTCTTTATCTCCATTTTTTACTAAAATGATTCACTCTTCATTTCTTACTGGTTCTGTACCCTCCTCTCTTAAAGGGATAGTTCAATTTGAAATTAATTTTTTATATGTTTTAGCTTACCTCAAGGGCATCCAAGATGTAGGTGTCTTTGTTTCCACAGTAGTTTCAATTTTGATATTTTTAGGTCAAACCGTTCTTGTCTGTCAGTCAAGAACGCAGGTCTATGGTCACCACCTCAAAGAGCATGCACAGAGAAGTCCAAATTAAACATGATATAATGACTCGTAAATGTAAGTACACATTGATGGCCTAAGACACGAAACGAGCGGTTTGTGTGAGAAAACGAACAGTATTTATATCGTTTTTATCTCTTGTAACCACAGCCACGTCCAAGTGATCTGAGGGCGCGGGTGCTTCGGTCTATGCGTAACAAGAGGTAAAAACGATATAATTACTGATTGTTTTCTAACACAAACTGCTCGTTTCGAGCAGTTTGACAGACAAGAACGGTTTGACCTAAAAATATCAACATTGAAACTACTGCGGAAACAAAGACACCTACATCTTGGATGCCCTTAAGGTAAGCTAAAACATATCAAAAATTAATTTCAAAGTGAACTATCCCTTTAAATCTGCTATTATTACTCCCATACTTAAAGTGCCCCTATTATGGTTTTTCGAATATTCCCTTTCATGCAGTGTGTAATAAAAGCTGTTTGTGAATGTAAACGTTCTGTAAAGTTGTAAAGCTGACAGTGCACGATAAATAAAGTTATTGTCTCCCAAAAGAAAGAATCGACTCTGAACCGCCTTTACGAGTTGTTGTTCGTTCGAATCCTACTGCTTTACGGTTCTACGTCACTAGGAGATACATTTGCACAATGCCCGCCTATGTTGTACATTGTCCGCCCGCGAACAAATTGACCAGCCCTCAAACATCATTTTACTGAAGACTACTTCTCAAATCTCATAGTTCAACACGGGATTCGGAAAACGCTTGGTCTTGAAATATGGGTCAGTACCCAGTTTATTTGGACCAGCTTGCTCCTTTGAATCACAACCTGTAACTATAAATAATTATTGATGTATATATTTTCTACCCGGTGTTCAAAATACTTAGTTTTGTGATTTATATTGTGTAGGTCTCCTGCTAACCGGCTTACTCACATTATTACTGTCTAACTGAAATAATTCTGCTGATCAGCTGTGGGCCACTATTACCTAAAACTCTTTCTATTAATGCAGATTGTCTGTTGTTCTTACTACTTTGAGTAAAGATAAAGAATGGAGCAATATTTGTTTTACAAACGTCAAAATGTTATTACATCAGTCATTCACGTTAGTGCTGGGCTAACATATGCATTATGCACCGTTATTGATATAGTTCCCACATGTGCACTGCAATAAATTAGAAATATCCACATCGGTTTGTTGATGGACATACACTGCTGATGGTGAGGAATGACAGATGCAACATTTCATAATGTACCTCAAACTGAATAGCGTATCACTGAGAAACGTCCTGCTCTCCGTCGTCCTTGCGATGGAGGTTAGTGTTGAAAGACTAGTTCTTCCAATGTTTCATCATCGGACCTGCGCTCAGATTGATATGGTAAAATCGATGTCATCGTTACTGTCTTTACAGTTTAATCGCTGAGCTGTAGGAAGCCTCCGGACAGAGTTGAAGTTCAGTTATGGTAATGGGCGTGTAGCTTTAGCTAGGCGCTGTACGCGGTAGACCAGTCCCAACAGACTAGGCCATCTGGCCAACCAGAGCAGAGCAGGCTCTTGGAAAGAAGAGATTAGAGAGACCGATTTATCCGACAAGTCATTTGAGAATCATTGAACAATGTGGTGATGTGCAATGTATATTATTAGAAAATGAAAGTGTTTTTTGACTTTTGATGCATGTAAACCTGACTACAAAAACATTACTAAATGTAAATGTAAACCTGTTGTAGTAGACCTCCAAAACAAAATTAGGAGACTTTAAAATAGCATAATTGGGGCACTTTAAGAAACCAGGGGCTAATCTATCTAATCTTGATAATTACCGTCCGATTTCTAGTTTGATATTTATTTCTAAAATCCTGGAAAAGTGTGTTGCAACACAGGTTCATGATCATCTCTCCGATAATAAATTGTTTAAGCAATTTCATTCCGGTTTCCGTCCCCAACACAGTACAGAGACTGCTCTTGTTAAAGCAAGAGGACCACCTAAAGCCACTCCGGACCTAACGTGCATTTACTATTTAAACAACGTGGCGCAGGACGTGAAAATAATAACTGCGTCAGGCTGAAACTAGCAAAAAAACCTTGCGTCGCGCCTGACGCCGCATTGCGCTGGGTGTGTGATAGGGCCCCTTGTCTCAGACGTAGAACTGCCTATATGGTGCAACAGGTACACAGGACTTAAGGTGCATTTTAAGGTGCCAGCTATTACCAGTTATTTTAGATATACAAGTTACAACAGTCTGTAAGGTTGCTTGATGTTGAAAATATTAATTATGGTCAACTGAAGCTCATACAGTATGTGCTTACTTGACTCGAGAGAATCAATGAATAGAATTAATTCTGTTCATCGTTTAAAGCAATCCTGTCTCTTCAGAAGACTTGTATTAAACCACTGGATTAATATGAATTATGTTTGCTATCTCTTTATATTTTGATGATGAACAAAAGTGCATCAGTATCAAGAAAGAATGTAAATCCAACAGCAGAATGGTAGCATAACCACAGAGCTCACAGCAGCATGAAATCCGGTCCTGAGCTGCTATAGCCCCTCAATCATCATATTTATCACATTCAACAAGTATTTTTTACATCTTCTTTTTTTCATCAGGACAAGATGTGAGTGGGGTGTTGGAGAGTGCCGTAGACACCAGTATTCTGGAGCAGTATTTGAGCAATGAAACAGATCCCACTTTGTGAGTTCTTTCAGATATTATAATTAAAATATTTTCAAATAAAGTCCACTTAACTTCCTCTAAATGACAATTTGACACCAAAACATGGTTATTTGTTCTTCTTAGTACACGTTTTTCTTATTTCTTAGCATGTTACCCGAGTCACCACCAGATTCAGGATCAGAACGTAGTTCTCCACCACAAATACAAGGTGACGTCTTCTCCAATCTAAAATCCCAACCTCAAAGTGATTAACTCTTTCCCCGCCCGTATTTTTGAAAAAGTTGCCAGCCATTTTCACAAAAGTTTCATGGCCCCCAGAATATTTAGTTGTATGAATATCTGAACATGCAATTTATCCAAAATAGACATTGCTGTTTCCACGTCTGGATCGGATTCAGAAGGATGATCAAAACAAAGATGGAGTAGATCGAGTCCATCAACACAACCAAAGCTTGCACAGTCCTATACCTTGTCCTGGTTCAACATTTCATTCAGTAAAGCTGGGCAGTTTTGATTTATATGCTGTTAACCTTGATGATCGCATTTATTTATTTTTTTCATAATATGCATCTGCTTACATATGCTATCGCTTGTTTCTGATTCTTCTTCGCCTGTGTTTTGATCTGGAGATTCTGTACTCTTTCAGAAGACGTGTAATAGTGTCCCCTACCGTATAATAATGGAAACATGGAAAGCCGGAAAAAATCCATAAAAATTCCGGGGACGCGCTGTTTAATTTTCGTCAATGGCGGGGAAAGAGTTAAAACACATTTGTTATCCACCTTATTTCTGACGAACTTACTGCATTTTGAATTATGGGTGGCACTTCCGGTTTGGAGAACTTCCATTCAAAAAGACCGAAACGAATCATTTCAAATTATAAGGTTAGCCTACAAATAAAGCTTATCCGTCAGTTTGACTGAATGAGCTGTCAATTTTCCTTCATGTTTTATTTTTCGACTTCATGAGAATAACGCCACACTTGGTATTTTAAAGTGACATGATATAACAAGAATATCTATGGCAAGAGCTATCTTCAGTCGCTGCATTCTGTAAAAGTATGAAGAAGGACAACAACATATACTGCACATTTGATTTATTTTACGATATTCTCCATTAATAAATCACTGGAATGCACGAAGACTCTCGTTTTTCTCCTCAAATCCTAATGTCTCTTTCCAGGTTTTGTTTTCACAGTTAAATACAATTTATTATCTGTTAAAATGATGGAAATCACTTTGAAATAGTATCACGCAATGCTGAAGTTAATGAACATATTTGATTAAGGCAATGTATGTTACATAATACAGACATATATATTACTACAGTGATATTTAACCCGTCCGTTATTGCTGTGGAAAGAATAGCGCTTTTGGGGTTTTTCATGGTCTGTTAAAAGTACCTTTTTGATGCTTTTACACTTTTAAATGTCCTATTAATGTTTGATGGTTGAAGGGTTTTCTTCCAGTTTTCTTAAAAAACAAAAAAACAAAAACATATTATTGCGTTTATAGAGCGAGCCTTTCACTGATTGTTTACAGCTTTAGTGGAAGTAACATCCATAATTCGCACAAAGTGCAATGGGGCGTAGGAATAAGTCATTAAAACGATCTGTCTTTTCACCAGATTCCAGATGGTCTACTGAACAAAGCAGCCGGGACACATATAGCCAATCAGAAGACTCCTTCCCTCCATCTTGTCCCTTTAAAGACAGAAAACCAGAGCGCTGTGGTGATGCAGGACTCATGTATGAAGTTGGCAGAACCCTTGGGAACCACATTAAAGCTAATTTACCTGCTTCAGTACCTCAGTACAGTCTCAACACAGCTGATAGTTACATACAGGCAACCACGTCCCATAATGCACCCATCCATGGTATCCTGCAGTATACCCAGTGCTCACCGATGGGTCTTTCAGCGGGACATATGCCAACTAATGCTGCTGCGGATTCTTCCTGTGTGCCCTATGCTATGCAACCAGAGACTGTGTACCCTTATATGCCCCCAAAACACGACCAACATGTAGGGTAAGACACGTCTGCTGCATGTGCTGTTCTGCTTTGTCATGCAGTTTATTCAGCATATTCACAGTCTGCAGTTCTTGTTTTAACAGAAATTTCGTACAAATAAATAAGAAAAGAAGACGGTCAAACTCTTTTGAGGAGCACACAGAGCAGCACATGGGCGCCGACCCGGTTTGGGCCAAACCGTCATTCTGTAAGTATTACATCATATGCAGAATCATTGAGTCCAATCTTAGGTCTATTTGCCAGTCTATAAATGTTGCTTTGTGGCATTACATCTTGCAATATATTGGTCAGATCCACTGTAAAATGCTATAAAATGTACATAAGGGTGCTTTCACACTAGCACTTTTACTTTCGTTTAACATCACACTTCGGTGTGTTTATATGATATTAATAATATTTTCAGAAGTAAGATGTACACCCGCAAAGTCTGCTTGTAAAATGGTGGTCTGGTTAATGTGAACAGTGCAGTTCGGTCCTGCTTATATAAACACGATCATACTAAATTGCGGAAGTGAACCGCCTTAATGTCTTAATCTCTTTGCTTAATGTCTGTGTTGTCTTCAGGTCCAGAGAGTGGATCATATGAAGCACAGTCTTATGACAGCGATGCTACTGGTGGAAGTCCAGCAAGCGGTGTGCACCAGCTGCTCACATGGGACCAGTATCAGCCCAGTCAGTGGTGCTCGCTCCACAACAGCAGATCTGAAACGTTGTGAGTAGCTACCAAGACTTCCTAACCTGACGATTAATCGAGTAATATGATCTCTTTTTTTTCTTTAAAATGACTTAAAATACATATATAACAACGAGGCAATAATAATTGGTTCATATGAAGTATCAAAAGCATGTAATCCTTTGGGTTTATTGAACAACACTGTTAAAATACATAATGTAATATACATAACATAAACATAATTCAATTTATGCACAACATTATGTATTATAACTAGGGCTGTCAGTTAAACGCGTTATTAACGGCGTTAACGCAAACCCATTTTAACGGTGTTAATTTTTGTATCGCGCGATTAACAGTCTTTTTGGCCTGGCAAACTTTGTAGTTTTTTTCACAGGCTTTTGCAACAGGACGCGGCATGCGCGGCGCTGCGCTATGAAACCTATTCATTTCAATGGCTTCGTCGACCAAAGCGCAAGCGGATCTAGCTAGACCGGAAACAAAACAACAGGCACGCCGCACACACTTGTTTGGGCTTGCGAGCCGGCCAAATAGTTGGTTAACGTTACGTTTTGAGTGGATGACGAGCGCGAGACGTCGAAATGGATGCCAATAAGATTCTGAATTGAAAGTTTACTTTTAATAAGTTGCCAAATGGTTCCATTGACAAGACCAAAGTGATCTGTGTGTTTTGTTGTTGTGAACTGAGCTATCATCATCGCAGCGCGTCCAGTCTGAAATACCACTTGATGATGGCCAAGCACAAACACACACACAGCTGATGCGAATTCTCCGCCCCCTCGTCAATATCAGGACCTCGTCAGTATTTCTTTTACCCTTTTATTGATGGACAGTGTTACATTGTGTGAGATATTATTTGCTCCAAGTGAGAATGTTAGTGTGAAATTGAACACAGTATATGCCAATGTTGTTTTCAATAAAAAAACATTTGCACAAAGCAAGCCGATCCACTTTTCCATGTTGATAAGAGCATTAAAATGAGAAAAAAATAATGGGACAAAAAGAAATCAAGAGACATTTAGAATAGATAAAAATGTGCGCTGAATTGCGATTAATCGCGAGTTAACTATGACATTAATGTGATTAATCGCGATTAAATAGTTTAATCGTTTGACAGCACTAATTATAACAAATGCCTGGTGATTGTTGTTGTTACACTTTACAGTAGATCAAATCCTTGTTCAATATTGACCAAAAATGTAAATAATAACAGTGCAACCCTTTGCTATGAAACACAAAGCGCATAAAGACTTCATATGCATTCCCAAATCAGTGTTGCCAGATGTACGATAATTATCGTATTTGTACGATAATTTTGACCTCTGTACGATGTACGATCAATAATGAAAAATAATTATTTGATCAATAATAATGATCAATAATTACTTACTTACTTGCTTACGATAATTTCAGAGTTTTCAGTCGTTCGTCCAAACACACATCCTACCGCTTCTCTCTCTGTCCCCGAATCATTTCGCAGGCTCGTCTGCCTGCACGCAAGCACGTATACACACACACACACACACACACACACACACACACACACACACACACACAGGCACCACACGGTGTCGCCCGGCCCGCACGTCAACACTACACTACAGTTTTGACAAAGAAGACAGTTCAGTTTAGATCAGTTTAACAAAACGAAGCAGTAAAGTGCTAAAAAAATGAGTTCAGAAAGGGAAGGTGAGGACAGTGGAGGGGCGAAGAGGAAGGCAGAGTCTGAAGAGCAGCGGAGAAGTAAGCATAGGCCACAAACATATAGGACAGAGTGGGAAAAAGACCCCACTTTTGCAGGATGGCTAAAACCTGTCCCAGGAAACGATGCTAAAGCAGTCTGTCGTTGTTGCAACGTCCAAATGGTGGCAGAGATCACGGTTTTATAAAATCATGAAAAGTCCAAGAAACATACAGATAAAAAGAAAAATCTAGCCCCATCACAAAGGTCCATAGCACAATGCCTACAGAAACCATTTGAAAAGCAAAAGTTAGATGAATCTGTGAAGAATGCTGAAATCAAGTTAACAGGGTTCATGGCAGAGCACAACATACCTCTGAGAACCATTTGGTCTTGGTCTTAAAAGATACTTTCCACGATTCACAAATAGCCCAAAATATGAGCCTTGGGCGCACAAAGACGACTGCTATAACCAAGCATGTCATTGGGGATTGTTATTCTGAAAGTCTAACAGAAATTCTTAAAAGAAAGAAATTCAGTGTTTTGATTGACTGACATAGGCAATGTAAAAACGCTGTGTGTAGTTGTTCGTTTTTTGATGAGGGACCAAGGAAGATTCAGACCAGGTTTTGGAAACTGGTACAAATTTTCTCGAACACAGATGACCACAGACATGCTAGAGAGGGAGCCACTGCGGAACGACTTTACGCCCAGATGATGAAGTCATTCACTGATGCAGGTGTACCACTCGAAAATATTGTGGGGTTCAGGTCAGATGGCTGCAACACAATGATGGGGAAACACAACTCTGTCTCCAGCCGCCTCAGGAGTGATCTTCCAGGCATCACAGTGCAGCGCTGCGTGTGCCATTCACTGCACCTTTGCGCAAGCGAGGCATACAGACAACTCCCTCGCAGGTGTGAGGATTTAGCCAGAGACATTTATGGGTACTTCAGAAACAGCGCAAAACGTATCGCGCAACTCCGAGAATTCCAAGATTGAGCCCCACAAAATGCCGTCACAGACTAGATGGCTGTCACTGAACGACGTTGTAAAACGCGTGTTTGCACAATGGGATGCTCTCAGTCTTTATTTCACAGATCAGTGGCTTGAGGCCAGACTTACTGCTGCGGAGACTATTTTTCACTCACTCAATGACCAGTCTCTACGCCTCTTCTATTATTTCCTTGAATGGGTCCTACCGAAATTCACAGATCTTAATCAGTATTTTCAGAGTGAAAAGGTGGTGATCACTTCATTGAGAAGCAAGGTCTGCGAGACTTACAAAGATCTGCTTCTGACGTTCATGGATAGGGACCATGTCATGCGCACTCCACTGAAAGACATTGACATCAATAATGGCCCAAAGGTGACACTGAGCTCAATGTACTTGGGCATAAAGGTGATGCAGCATGTGCAGCAGCAGCAGGCAAAAATTTCGCCAGCAAATCTGACAGATTTTTATGTGCGCTGTCAGAAATTTCTATAGGTTGCCTGCGGGGAAATCAAGAAACGATTTGATTTTGATGATGCTCTCTTGACCCGCCTTGTATGCCTTTCTCCTGCTACCGCAACAGACACAAACGCACGAGTTGAGCATCCGTCTCTGCTCCCCCTCATGGAACAAGTGCCACGGCTGATTGACATCTCAGACACAGACAGTCTCCAAGTCATTGATGACCAGTGGAGGCGATTGCCTCTCATGGCCTTAAGTGAAGACACGAAAGAAATGGATGTCGATGAATTCTGGCATCATATTTCTTCGTTGGAGGATGTCCAGGGGATAGCCGTGTTCAGTGAACTGGGAAAGTTTGCTCTGGATGTGCTTGTGTTTCCCCACTCAAATGCGCCATGCGAACGAGTGTTTTCAAAAGTCAATCTACTCAAAACAAAACCACGAAACCGACTCATTACAGACACTCTGAATGGACTCCTGCACACATCCTGTAGTGTGTGAAGAATGCTGGTGGGTGTCACGCCTTCAAACCGACGAACACTATGCTGCGCTCCATGACGGCATCCAATCTGTACCGTAAAAGGATTCCCCAACCAACAACATCTGCCAACACAGCACAAGTGGATGTGGCATCCGATGATAACAGCGACTTAGAGATCGAATTTGAATCTTTCTAGTGTTAATTGTGCACTTTTTTCTCTCTGTATTATAGTTTAAGGTCTAGTTCAAAATGTGGACTGTCGGCATATCTTTTGCACTTTGGGAAAAAAAAGTTAAGTATTCAGACTTCCTCCAGTCAGTGTGAGCGTATTACAGAGCTTGTTTAAATAATTCAATAATTTTTTCAATAATGTATGCATGTCTGTATATATATATATATATTTATTTTTATTTTCTTACATGTTCAAAATAAAATTGTATTAATATATAAAAATAAATTGGCTGTAAAATTAATTGGAAAATAAAATTGTTGGAAAATAGCTATATTGTATGCGTTTGGTTCGTGTACGATAGTTTTTCTCAAAAAACGATAATTTTGAGGTTGTGGTACGATACTTTGACATTTCTAATCTGGCAACACTGTCCCAAATGCACATTATTGGAAACCCAAACAAACAGCACTTGCAGATACTGAGTTTGTGTGGAGACGCATTTACTGTGAACGCTCTGAGATGCTGTAACCTGTGCGTTAATTCTGTGCAGTGGTTTTTTATTAAGGGACATATAGAGATTTCCTGTATCATAAATCGATGAACTTTAGCTTAAAAACAATGAAAAAGGCCCTAATTCCTATTAAGGACACCCCAAATAATATATATACTGTATATATATATATATATATATATATATATTAACCCATACTTTTATTAAATCAGTAAGAAAAATGGAACCATCAAATCATTCACAAAACCAATCAACACTGCAAAAAATAAAAAAATTAATTCCCCTCAAACAAAGTACAAAAAACCTCATTAAAACACCACTGTAGTACAAAGGTCTCCATCCTGCATCTCTTTATAGTACTTAAACTCAACTGAGATCCTAGACCTGATAAATGCCTTAAACAACAATACGCTATCTTGGCCATGTGTATTTGTAATCTTGTTTTTTCTTGAAATATATATATGGCCATTTTTGCTTGGCCGACCATAAAATGAATCAACTGCCATTTAAATCTTTGATTGCGATTATATCCTGCCCCATAAATGAAAGCCTTATATGTGAAACTTTCCTTAAAACCTACAAACAAATTTTCTAGTAATACAAAAAGTGGTTTTAGCCAGATACATTCCAGAAAACAACGAACAATCGTTTCTCTGAACCCACAAAAAAAAAACTTCATTGACATTGGGATTAATGATTGATACAAAAGCATTAACAGCAACAGCCCCCTTCAGGATTCTCCATTGCAGATCTCCTTAATCTTCATTTCCAATATCAAATCTCTTTTGACTTATACAATATTTTAACAAAACATTTGTAAATCAAAAAACAGACATCTTTAAATCTGGTGTAATCCAGTGCTTGGGAAAAGGGTCTCTCATATCAGGAAGCAAATTCCCTTCCTCATATCTTTGAAGAAGTGACAACTCCTCTGCTGCCAGTTTCTTTCTCCATAACTCCATGATAGTTGAGGTTTGTCGCATAGATTTTTGTCCTAATAAAAATGCCACAGCCATAATGTCTTTCAATTCAGAGCCGACCACTTTAATTATGTGACCCAGCTTTACAGTCTGGGTGTCACACAGTCTCTGAGAAAGATTCGGTACTTGATCCGTTATGTCCAAACGAGCCCCCTTAACTAGAGGCTCCTCCAACAACCAGAACAGAGAGTTAACATTTTCTGGTCTTTCAATAATGAAACATTCCCCAAACTTCAATCCCACCACTGTCTTAAATCTTTAAAACAATTTTTCCTACTCTTGAAAATGTTCCAAAACTTACAAAACACTTCTGTCAGGACCACATACATATATCGTATTCCTATAGGTAGACGTGGATCAGCTGAGAGTCAGGTGATGCAAGCTTGACTAACGTGACCTGCCAGAACTGACACTACGCTTAATATCTCTAAAAAAAAAACAAAAAAAAACAAAGATGCATTAAAATGCCAATAAGCTCTCTTTCTTGTCAAATTCGCTATAAACAAACAGTGATCCGGAAACCCAACTGGAGTAATCAAACAATTTTTTTTACAATATTTAAATGATATCTAAAACAATAAAACCTATCAAGCCTGGCCATAGAGATACCATTATCTCTGCAGTGTGTCCATGTATACTGCCTATTGTTATTGTTCAATTCTCTCCACACATCACATAAACTGTGGGTTTCCATCAACTCGCGTATTACACGTCTTGAAGCAGTGTGAGGTTCCAAATGGTTCCTGTCAAGAACATCATTTTCCGTACAGTTAAAATCTCCCCCACAAAGAGTTAGGGAGTTTGACAATTATTTCATTTGTTGGAGCATATAGATTAATAATAGGGATGCACGATATAGGATTTTGGCCGATATTCGATATGCCGATATTTTCAAACTAATTTTGCCCGATGCCGATACCGATACCGATATATTTGTATTTTTTTTAAGTGCAAAAAAAGCATATTAAAGCTTCTATTAATGTTCTCAGTCAAGAGCAGTGAGTGATTTCCTCTGTGTTTTGTTGTTTTATTAACATTAACGGGATAGTTCTCCCAAAAATTTAAATTGTCATCATTTACTCTCTCAAGTTTCTTTCTTCTGTTGAAATTATAAAAGTTATTTGGAAGAATGTGGCTAACCAAACAGTTGCTGTACTCCAGTGACTTCCATAGTATATTTAAGCACAAGAAAGAAATGAATCCAGGTTTGAAACAACATTAGATAGACAGAATTTTTATTTCTGGGTGCAGTATCTCTTTAAAGACAAGCGGCAGAATATTATTACTGTCTCTTTAAGAACTGCACGCGAGTAACGCGACGCGTCTAATACACGCATTTGACAAGCAGATTTTCTCTGTTTGCTTTCACTTTAGACATAACCAACTTTGTTTATGTAAACCTTGTGTGTATTTGACAGTATCAGCGCAATAAGACTCGAAAGATTAGTCCAGTATGCAGGCGCTGTGACAGGCTTTAGTTCCTGTGAGCGTCGCGTGTACGCGCTAAGAAAAGCGGATGTTAGAACAGCGCATCAGCACGTGAATGACATGTTTACCTAGCAAGACTTTGACCAAATGCAAACAATGAACTTTTGTGAATTGCGGTGTCCCGTGAGTGTAACTCTACCTCTGCGTTTACATGTGATGTGATGTGATGTGAATGTACGTCGCGTTGTACAGTATGTTGAGATGAAGGCGCCAGAATTGAACTGATAGAATGCACGATACTATGATTTTTCTTCAAAAGCAGATAGTGGAGGCATTTTAATCGTCCACGATCAAAAACCGTGAGACGCACGCACGGCACACCCCTAGTTGGAAGTTTAAGTTGCTGGCGGTCATGCTTCGTTAACGGTCGTCACGTGCGCATAGGAAACACGCCACCCTATCGGCAAGACTCATCGGCAGAAATATTCATATCGGCCGATGCCGATGATGGTCATTTTAAGCTTTTATCGGCCGATACCGATGTTGTCCCGATATCATCGTGCATCCCTAATTAATAAAAACAAAATTAAACTTTTCAAATTTAGCTTGTAAGACTAATAAGCTACCAGGTATCATTTGCTTTATTTCACATGAAATTGGCAGAATATTATTTTACGAAAAGAATGGCCACTCCACCTTTAACAGAGTTCAAATGTGTAAGGTACACTTCACCTTTCCATTCTTTCTTCCAGTCAATTTCATTCAAGCAATCACTGTGTTTCCTGTACAAACACTACATACATTTTCTTCTGAGCGATTAACTCAAATAGAAGTGCTCTTTTTTGCATATCTCTTGCACCATTCAAGTTAAGGGTGCCCACTTTTACTGCACTCATTTGATTACATAGTTTTTAAACAACATATAAAAACACAGTATCTTCATGCTATAATTCCAGTTTCACTTTAGAAACAAATGTATTGAATCTATATATCTCCTGTACTGTGAATTGTTCTTCACCTTCTCCCCTCATCAACATCACAACTGATTAAACGAATGCTTTCCGATCTGGAAAGTAATCTATGACCTGGATATTCTTCATATTTTTGGTCTTTTGTAGAAAAATTCTCACTTTAGCAGAAGTATAGCTTTGTTGTTCTTTCTCAATATAACCATCTACAGCTTCACTATCAGAATCATCCATTGCACTATGTTCAGTCTCGTCACTCTTGCCAGCTTGTTGATCCATCTCCATTTCATCACTTTTTTTTCTTGGGGATTTCCTAACGCGTTTCCTCTTACTAGAAGGAGCTTTAAACAAAGCCTCATCTTTTTCAAAATCAGTATTCTTATTCTCCTCAACTATAATACTACTAATATACAAGCAGTAACGTTTGTTATGGTTGTGATTTTTTTTTTTTTTTTTTTGGGATGACCCTTTTTTAAACTTTAAAAGGAATTAAGGCCTTTTTCAATGTTTTTAAGCAAAAGTTCATTGATTTATGTTACAGGAAATCTTTTAGTTGAAAAATAGTCACAAAGTTCTCACTACTACTTAATCATTATCTTGACATCTTATACTGTCCCCTTTTTTTGTGTAGACCACCTCCAGGTTACCATGTGGACACTGATAAGGGTTTCAGCTACTCCACAGCTGATGAAGCCTTTGTGTGTCAGAAGAAGAACCACTTTCAGGTTACCATTCACATTGGGATGGTTGGAGATCCCAGATTTGTCAGAACCCCAGCAGGTCTCATGCCCGTGGAGAGCTTCTACGTGAAGGTGTTTGGGGTCAAGGTAGTGACAACATGGCTGAAAACCTTACGGAAACATTTATGTTCTGAATGCAGATGGTTTGTTTGACGCTTGAACCCTTTTGTAGTTTGAAGCACAGAACCATTTCATCACCATCGAGCAGTCTCAGTCAGATCGCAGCAAGAAGCCTTTCCTGCCGGTCAGGTGAGTGTCACGATACTTAAAATGAAGCATGTGGAAAAACATATTTATAATGTGTAATTTATCCTGTTTTTTGGGTGTAACATCTCTTTTAGAGTAAATCTGCCAGGAGACACAATCACCAAGGTGACATTAGGACGCTTACACTTCTGTGAAACGACGGCGAATAACATGAGGAAAAAGGGCAAACCCAATCCTGATCAGAGGTTAGTTGTTCTTTTGAAGGTCTAACCTTTGGACATACAGAGTTTACCATTTTAACAGTTAGAAACAACAGGTCGCCACATTCGCTTGTGCAGGCCAAATCTTAATATTTCATGATTTCTGGTCAGGTGTTTGGTTCAGTTATCTGTTGTGATTCTTAGATGGTTTAAGGGGAATTATCTTCTAAACATAACTTTTAAAAAGATTTCTTGATCAGTTTATCTCTAGACTACTAAAACAAAGGTCTTTTGGACTGATCTTTAAGGATGCAATCTTCTTACCTTTCTGTAAAATTCACCATTTTGGATCCAAAATGGGTCATGATTCTGTTTTCAGTGTCAGAGTAGCTTGATCAGTTCACAGTAAATGCTGCTCCAAGTGAACTCAAATGCTGTATGTTTGAGTCGCTTAAACACAAATGGCAATATTTTTAATGAAACCTGAGATAAAATTTCACTCTTACAAAAGTCAATAAAAACATCATAAAAGTGGTTATCGGATGAGCCATTACATTATGACCAGCCCAGAGCAATCAGTGTGCACCTGGCAACCAAACGGTGCAGGTCACAGAGCAGTATATACATCCGTTTTCGGTGTCAGATTGGAAAAGCTGTGTACAAAAAGCTGGAAAAGCTGTGTACAATTATATTTATTTTTGTATATTAAATTTATAATGCCTAATTTTATTCGTGATGAACTAAGATTATTTAGTGATTATAAAAAAAAAAGCGCTTTCTGCCATGCCATATCACACATACAGTATTCTTGCTTTCCTGTTAAAATAACAGTGGTTTTAAACGTAGAAACTTTAAAGGAGTAGTTCACTTGAAGATTACCCCATGATTTACTCACCCTCAAGCCATCCTAGGTGTATAACTTTCTTCTTTCAGACGAATACAAATATAGAGTTATATTAAAAAATATCCTGGCTTTTCCAAGCTTGATAATGGCAGTGAATTGCAACCAACAGTTTGAAGCTCAAAAAACTAAATCCATCCATCATAAAAGAACTCCACAGGGGGTTAATAAAGCCCTTCCAAAGCAAAGCGATGAGTTTGTGTAAGAAAAATATTAATATTTAACATGTTGCAAAGTAAAATTCTAGCTTCCGGCCAAACGAACATACTCAGTCTACTTGGGCCTAAAGCGCAACATATGACGTCGGAAGTAGCGTAAATATCAGTAGTACGTCGCATTACTCGCACAAGTTGCGCTTAGACTTAAGCTGAATCCGTATGTTCGCTTGGCCGGAAGCTAGTTATTTTTCTTTATAAAGTTTTAAATATGAATATTTTTTTCACACAAATTCATCGCTTCGCTTCAGAAGGCCTTTATTAAGATCCTACAGCATGACTGGATTTAATAGGTGAAACTGTGAAAACAGGAGTAAAACAAACAATTACCTGCTTAAATTAAAGGCAGTTGGACTCGACAGTGTTCCTTATAACTTACCAGAGAACCAGTGGTCTGGAATGTGGCCAGGATTTGGGTTTCCTAACAGTTATATGTACCTGATTTCGACGCTAGGGAAATGCATAAAGCAAAGCCTGTGAATGCATTATGCTAGACAACACTATAAATACAATATAGGTATATCTAAATCCTGATGACTTCTATCATTGTTATATTGTCCAGCCATAAAACTTGTTAAAGCACCAAGGTATATAGACATAACAATTTATGTAAAGCTGCTTGAATACGATGTGTATATTGAAGAGCTAAAAAATTTGACTTGACGCTTGGTCATACTTCAATATAGGATAAAAGTGAGGAGGACATCATTTTGTCAGTTGTTACCGTCATGCATACAATACATAATTCTGCCGTGTAAACTGAATCCATTTAAGAACTCATTTGTACTTTTATCTATTTATCTATTTAAACCTTCTTTAGAGCTGGCCCACACTAAAAGATTTTTTCCATTCACAGACAACCACAGTCCCAAATGTGAACACGGAAAATTTCGCAAAATCTCTCATGGCCAAGCGGGACTTTAGCTGTGTGAGTTTCCCCTTTAAGGGATTGAAATTAGCTTTTGAGTGGTTTCGAATTATTAAAGCGTCAGCCAGTTCACGGCTTTTCATCCGGTTTTGATGTCGTCTCTGTTCATTTAAATTAATCAGATGAATACATTGGATATTAAGATTTGAGATCCACGTGGCCCTAACCTTCTACCGAGCAGATTCAATCAATCTTAACACACCTCATAACACAGGAAAAGCTGATAAGATAATCTGTACAAGGATCAAGATAATCAGGACTTTACCTAGGATTGTCAGCTTGTAAACAATGTCACGTAACGCTAGATTTACCACAGAAAACCCATTGAATGACCATAAACTCGATAGTTAGCTAGAAAAATTAACTCTAGAGAGGAGCATTTAGCAATTTTTTTTTAAAATGCACTATATTACTTATTCATTATAATTTTACTCATATCATTTAAACATTTTTATTAAAATGGCTTATATGCATTTGTAAACGAATCAGTTGTTAATTTTGCCCTTTAATAATTACTTACCTGTTGTTCTATGTATAGTGTGCAGCATTAGTTGAGATTTTTTTATTGAGAAAAATTAACATGTACTTAATTGATATTGCATCGAATTGGATCAAGATCAGAATCGAATAGCAAGCTTATGAATCGAAATCATGAAATCAAGCCGAACCATGTAAACATTGTAATGTGTCAGTAAACCTAATAAATTCTGTTCAGTTATCAAATGTTTTGACAAGTTTTTTTATGTACAAAAATAACCTCCACCTCCGCCATATCTCGACTTTTAAAAAATAAGATTTGTCACCAGAATAGTACGTGTACCGCCCGATTTTTGTAGATGCGCATATTTTGTACACGAAGGGCACACATGCGCATTCTATTTGTTTTGCACAAGTCAGTTATTCCACAAGGTGGCAACACTGGCAGTACAGGTTGTACTGGTAGTACAGTAACGAAACTAAAATACAACAATAACAATAATAACGGAGACTGCAATAACCCCGGTGAGAGGAAGGTGATTTTTGTTTGGCTGGTAAAAGGACTTTTTTCTGTCATCAGAGGCTTGAGGTGAAACCTGTATGTCAACCCCGGCAAGTTGACCACAGAGCTCCTCCATAAAGGCTCTGTGTGTCAGCGGTGTAGTCTTTTGCTCTTTACACAGTTCTTTGTGGAGGACGTAGCTGTTGCATGTGGCTATGTCCACAAAGTGTAAGAACATAGTCTTATACCATCTATGTGCTTTGTGGTGAGCAGAGGTGTACTGGATGAGCTGATCGGACAAGTCCACACCCCCCTTGTATTTGTTGTATTCCACAACTGGAGTGGGAACTGGAATGCTCACTTTCTCCCAGGTTCCATCTCTTTTTTTTTTTGCATTCTCGCGACCTTCTCAGATGTGTAGGCTTGATAGATGGTCGAGCAGATGGACACCTCTCTTGTGTCCATCCACTTGACAAAGAGCAAGTCACCATCTCGGATCCATCTGATTGTGCCTCTTTGGGATTTTTTGGAGAAAAATCCTTCCTCCCCCTCTCTATATGTACAGCAGGCTCTAAAGTGCAGAGACGACAGGTGTTTGAATAGCTGAGGGCTTGTATACAAGTTATCACAGTAAATGTGATAACCACATCCCAAATACGGTTTGTCCAGGAGGCCCACAACTGCGTGCAACTCGAGAGGATGGTGGCAACAAAAGCCAAACCCGGAATGACACAGTACAAAAAGGACAAACCGACTAAGTGGGGATTAAAACTGTTCATCTTGGCCGACTCTACAAATGGATACATGTCTAGCTTTACCGTGTACACGGGGAAGGCACAGTTCCCCACTGGCTTTGGACTTGGAAAGATGAACAGTTTGAATCCCCACTTAGTCGGTTTGTCCTTTATGTAGTGTGTCATTCCGGTTTTGGCTTTTGTTGCCGCCATCCTCTCGAGTTGCCTCGAGAGTTTTTTGCCTTCAGTAAGCTTTCACTGATCCAAGTTTTAGCGTCCCATGAAAATAACAAGTGCAAGATATTTTAGGAAGTCTGTGGGGGTGACATCAGTCCATTTGAATTGAAGTCCTTGTGCTATCCTCTTTGTAGCTTGCTTATTTGTGTTACTGCATAATTGTCTGATGACATTATTGCTGAAAAAAATGCTGGAACAAATCAAGTGGATTTATCGAGTTGCACTCCTGGGGGCCTTGCAGGGGCAAACCTGGGGAGAATGAGTGCCACATCTGGATCACTTTCGGTTTTCCATTGTTGTTCAGGTTCCTCCTCGGTGGAGGCTGAGGAATTGTATTTTTTTGGAGAAAAAGCTGGCCTTAAGCGAAGTAGTGTTTTAATTCTACAATTAGCCTATTGAAAAAATGAAATATTTAGTTAATAAACTTTTATACTTTCTAAACTTTTTAATAAACTTATGACAGAAATATAACTACATGTAGCCTAAAAGATTTAATTCCTTCATTATCAACACTTTAATAATGCTAATGTCTAAGTGTGAATTGTGACTTCTCTTTGTCTCAGACGCTACTCTCAGAGCCTGTGGGGGGTTTGGAGGGGCAGTTCAGTGGCTTTATCGTGGGGGTGCAGGACAATAGCCCATAGGTGTTTATGTCCCGTATTTCATATGGAGAGTTTCGGATAGCCAGCCTGATGATACAGTACTGGCAAAGGCAAAATTCCTTTCAGAATAAATCTCTCGATGCGTCCAAATAGGCCATATCTTAATTAAATTATAAATATTGTAGCTAATGTATTTAAAGGTTTTCATTAAAAAAAATCAATTGAAGTGTTCAATCCAGTTGTTTCAACTGGTTTTTTAGAGTTTTAGAATGTTTGAGTAGTGTGTATGATTGTCAACAATCTGGCAATATCTAAACATGAACTGTTGACAAAACGCGTTCATGCCAACTAAACGATACAGAGCAATTTAATTTGCGATCAACCTCTTATTGTAGCCTAAGGTGAATTCAACAAGGCATTCTTTTTCTTTGAAGCAACAAAGGCTAAAT